CAAGTGAGACAGAGCGTTCAGCACAGCGCTTCACGTGGAGGTGTACAGAGAAAGAAACCATTTACACAAATTGTGCCTTCTCTCTTCATCCCCCAAAAAAGTACACCCCCCTTATACTTTTATGGAAATTTTTTTTAAGTAGCACACAAAAGGGACGTTCACACAAGTGGATGCCGTATGTAGTAATGAGCCACCCTCACTCCGTTTACCCATTTTGCAGTACCCATATTGCGCGCGATAGTTTGTCCCCTTGCGCACGTGTCTTTTGTGGCATCGCTTCATCTGCTTATCTGCCCATTTGAAGCCACGCCCCTGGCACCGCCATACTGCACTGTTAAATCCCTCTAAAAGGGTAACTCTATCATCTGCTCCCCTTTTCAAACTGCCGAGAGGGTGGTGTAAAAGTGACCTCATTCTGCTGACTCTCTTTTACATAAACTTTTTTTTTTTTTTTTATTCTGTGTGTGTATGGATGCAGTTTTTAATTACCCAAGTGGAAGGGTAACCCAGTGCGAATATTTTTGATTGTCTCTTTTGAAACAGCTGGGAGAGCGACCAGCCCACAAGGGAACAAAAAAGAAGACTCGAAGTTGTAAGTGGTCCCCACCCCATATCCAGCGTGTACGCACATATATGTACCTACCCCCTCGCGTGTTCCTCTATGTCTACTCGCTCAAGCACACAGCACCAGAGAAATAGGACAAACACAGAATCGAGGAACCATCCAGAGGAAAACACACATTTTTTAATTACCCATTTTTTTACATATCAATTTTTAACTCATTCAATCGTCTCCTTAGGAGCGTAACGCCAGAAAGGCGCTATCCCCGACGATCCTCCTGTCTTTTTTTTTTTTTTTTTGCTTCCCCTCTTGACGTTGCGAGGAGACTTATCAGCTCGCCAGTAGAGCAGCTTCCAGATTTCGGGAACACCGCAGAGTTCGCCTACCGATCGGGAGAAAACTGCCTGCTGCCCTCTCGTTACGTTTACCCCTAGCCACACCACCGAGGAAGAACAGACCGAGCAAAAGAAGCTGAATAGCAAAGTATGGAAAGAGAAAAACCGGACGAAGATGAGGAAATTACAGTAGGAAAAAATATCATCCACAACAATTTCGACAACGCCGATTTTCTGCGAAACTTTCACTTCCTGCTTCAACATAGTTGCCCCTTCTACCAGCTCCATGGACTCCATTGGTCGTGTGGAGTGAAGAGCGCCCTGGGGGTAGGAAGAAGTTCATATGAGGGAAGCACATTTGAGGGAGGAACCATCGAAAGAAGTGCAGATGAAAGAAGCACTGGGCCAAGTGGAACCGGCCGAACGCAGATAGGCCGGAGAAAAAGCCAAGCGACGAAGAAGCTCATTATCCATTTGGTGCCCTCCAGCAAATCCGATCTTTACAATTTCTTGAAGAAGAAAAAGGAGCAAGTACTGAACATCTATGGAAAAGACGAAACTTACAAATATGAAAGTCACATAAGTTTGACTGGGTACTTCTCATGTGAAAATGTCGTCATTTTTACGAAGAGTCTGTACGTTTATTTGTTTTATTATGTGAAGCTTTACCACTTATCTAGGAAACAGTCCATGCAGGATTTGTTCTTTAGCATTCCGTGTCGGGTCGGAGCGTCAACCTGCGATGGTCGGCGCAGTAGCAAGCAGTGCGGGAGCCGGGAGGAGCAACAGGAGCGGGACAGGGAGAAGCAGCTGGATTCGCAACCTAATTCGAAGTCTGTTCCGCCGCCCGTTTCGAAGCTGCAACCTGTGAAATGCAACATCAAGGAGAAGCACATCCTGACGACGGACGACGGATACGTGATTATCCCCATAAAGTGTGAGTGGTTAAAAAGGATGTTCGAGAACTTCCGATTTTTAATTAAAAATGATAGCTTCACCTTGTGCAGGAAGCACAGCCAAGGTGGAAAGGAGAAATCCTCCAAAAAAAACTTGCGAAAACGTTTGGCGGTAAAGAAAAAGAATAGCCACTTCCTTTGTGCAGAGGATAGGAAGCACAGGACCGAAGAGGAACCGTCCGAGGAGGCACCATTGACGATACATTGTCAGGGGGACAACGCTACAGGGGGGAGAAGTCCTCTTGTGGGGGAGGAATGTCAAAATATGAACAACACTCCTCTAGCCCAACATAACGGCGATGAATCAGTCCTGCATTCGTGTGTAAGAGGGACCACAGGACGGTCCAGTGTGAGCAGTGTTAGTACCTGCGCCAGCAGCGGCGACTTGGGGCTGTATAGCGAGGTCGCGCAAGTGGGTGATAACTCTCCTGCGATGAACCCCCTGGTTTGTGAAAGGGCGGACGCAGCATCCAATAGTAGAATCAGCGGAAGAATTCGAAGCCATCGAAACAGTCGAAGTAGTCGGAACAGTGGTGGCAATAAGATCAAGTACCGGTACAACAACGCCAAGGTACGCTTACTCGAATTTCGCATAAAGAACTGCAACCATATTTCCCTCGCCTCCAACCGAAACGACCAATGTGTGCAAAACGAGATTGCCCACATGTACAGAGACATGAAATACTACTTCTCCAACTGCACGTGGGACATGGTGATGTTCGAGTGCGTAGACGGGGGAGGCGGCACGGAGATCGGAAATGGGAACGCAACTGAATGTTCTCAAGGTGGCAACCCCCTCTTGAATGAAATTTTCCGGTTCACCAATTTTGCCATCTCGTGACGGTCGCACAAAGGAGCCCACCAGCTGACCAAAGGTGGTACACCTCCTGTTTTTTTTTTTTTTTTTTTTCCTTTTTTTTTTGTTCGTGTTCTTCCCCTCCCAAAATGTAAGTCCTACCGCTTGTATTTCTTTTTATATTTGTGAAAGTGAATGGAAGTTTTTAATCCACAATTGTGGAGGGACTATACGAGCGTTTTTTTTTTTTTTTTTTTTCTTTTTTCTGTGTACGTTTATTATCGAAAAATGCCTTGCATGTCCGCCTGGCGTGTGTGATCTTCTAGCCTCTCCTTGCGAAGGAGCTGAGGAAGCAAAACTTCCCCCCAGCCGCAAATACATGTCTACAGTTAAACTGCCAAAAGGGGAGAAACTGGCTCTTCCAATTTTTTAAACCGTCTTTAAAAGTCCCACAGGTTTTTTTTATCTACACGGGTGGGTACACTCCTCGTTTTGGAGTACAACAAACCGAGGAATTCCCATGTGTTGTGAGCAACTCTGTTGGAAATTGTTAAAACAGGAGTAGTGGTTCATTCCCTTGAGGGTGGCTTCCTTTTGGGGGCTTCCCCAGTGTGGAGATACAAACCAATGACGCACAACCACTTTGTGGAGTAAAAAAGAGAAAGAAAAAATTGGCATGGGGGATGCCACCCCCAAGGGGCTAAGTTAACCTTTCACAGTTTTGCAAAAACGGACTAGCGAAAGGTATTATCATTCGGCAACCACCAATCAAAGAGGGAGCATTCCATGAGATGGCGTGGCAGCAGGTGCCAAATGGGAGGCACCACGGCGGTTCCTCATTCTGCCGCTTCCCCGTGCACCGCCTCTTTGCACACAAGTTAGAATTAGCTATTAGCTAGCCAAAATGGAAACCACATTTTTTCGCCTGAACAGAAAAAAAAAAAAAAAAAGAAACACGGAAAGGGTAAAGAGTGAAAGGCGAAATTAAAAGCGTTTACACAGATCTGTCATTCTGCTGCTACTTTCGCGAAGGCATACACGGGCGTAACACATCCAGCAGTATTTTCCGCAGCAGGCGCACCTTTTCCCGCTTTTGCTATTTTTCTTCACCAACAAGTAGGCATATGCCTTATGATAGCTGACCTTGCTGCCTCGGTCCTCCCCACCTGGACACACAGTAACATGGATGAACACAACAAGTATCAACAAACAGAAGATAAAACGCACAAGAAAGATGCGAAGGAGCAACGACAAACCTACCACTACGACAGTCACCGTTCTAAGAAGGGCTTCTCCGTCAGGGGAAACGACGAGGGCAGCTGCAGCGAAGAACGTTCTTGTGAGGGCTATTCTGCACTGCGAGGCGACAGCGGGGGGAGCGCCAACTCGGGAATGTCTACACACGGACACAGCAATTGGCACAGTAACGGGCGCCGCAAAGTGGGAATTAATTCAGGCACAGAACGGCCCATACATTCGATCCGTGCCGATAAACGCACCAGGAGCAGTCGGGAAGATGCCCCCAGCCATCGCATATTCCTTGTGAGGAGATCAAGCTGTGTCAACCCCCCAAGTGATACACGCGTAGGTGCAAAGCGATGGCTCCTCCACGATTCCTGCAGAAAAGAACACTCATCATATGAGGCGAGGATTCGCAGGACGTACGAGAGGCCACCTCACATCGAGCTGTCCATACCTCCAACGGATCGAAATGGGAACAGAAAAAAAATTCAAAGGAGGTATACCTCCCACCCCAACGTAAGTGGAACACCCCATGAAGTTACGCCTGTTAGAAAGTTACCACGGAGTCGATTTGCCCATAAAGACGATGCGATTAAAATAAAGAGGAGAGAAGTACCAGCCCAGTGGAGACAACACCATTTAGGTGAAAACGCCAAGGTAAAAGGTGGCACAGTGGTTGGGCTGGCGAAATTATCGAACTTGTACAAATGGAGCGACGACTACCACATGCATAGCAGTACGCGGCATGCTACATTCCACAAGGATGGCCACCCCCCTAAGACGGGAAAGGCCACCAAACAGAAGCACAAGACAAAGAGGGTTGCTTCTAAAGAGGGATATACCTTCAAAGGGGAGGAGGAGGACAGGAAGGACAAGGACCGTCCCGACATGAGCAATACCCCCTGTGGACATAAATTCTATCAGGTCAAATTCCTATGCCAAGCAAAGGGCTACGATCTGAAAAAAATAAGTCTCGTGTTCGATGTCAAGAAGATAAGATACGTCTTCCACGATAGAGACAACATTTTGTGTGCATTCCTAACGCCAGAAAAAAGTACGAAATATTTCTGCAACTTGGAGGACATTGGTAACATAGACAACCTTAATTTTATCAGAGACGTCACTCCTTCGGACGCTGAATACATTGTGTTTATCTTTATCAATGGCTCTGTAGTCATATGGCACAACTTCCCGAACTGTTACAGAAATGATGTGTTCATCAATAACATTATCGTGTTTTTAAATTCCTACTCCGATGAGCTGTTGCCCGGGCATGTGGTGCAGGAGGATATGATGTATTACCATGAGTGGTGGGCAGAAGAAGAAAAACACCGTCCAGGTTTGTCTGCCCCTTCGGAGCGGTTCCTCTCCCCGTCCTGTGTAGACCCCCCCCTGATCAGCGGGGGAGTTATCCACCTGCGCAGCGGCTCCCTGGAACAGAAACTCACCGTGTCTTTCGCCCTCTCGCAGTCCATTCGCCTCGACGTGCACGAAATGCTGATGGATATCACCATCAACAAGCTCTTCATCATATCGAAGCAGATTGCCAGTCGGGGCACCTGCACCATTTCCAAGCAGGAAGTGTCGAGGATGCTTAATGTTTACTCTAGCATAATTAACGTCAACGCGGTACAGGACTTCCTAGATGTCCCAGAGTACTTCTGGAATAAGGTGCAATACGAGCACGCGTGGTTCGAGGTGAGGCATGACTGCCAACAGGCTTCCTCTACTAGAGCTTCCCCACTAACACACTTGTAAACTCCCTTCACTGACTTGGCGCTTTCCTCTACCCATTGACTCCCCCTCCTACGTGCAGATTTACGCATACCTGGAGATCCCCGACCGGATCAAAATCCTAAACAAGCGCTACAACTACTACAAGGATTTCCTCAAGGTGATAAAAACGGAGGGTTATAACGACAAAACGTTCCACACCTACCGGGTCATCGTCCTGCTGCTCTTCATACACGTGTGCGCGCTTATTCTTAACGATCTCTTTTTCGCCCAGTGAAAGGGGGGAAGGTGATGCTTCCTTGGTGGATCATCGCTGGACAGGATAATCATTGTCGGGAAACACACCTTTTTCCCCTCCGTTAAATTTCCCTGCTCTCCTTCTCTAACTTCACATACAAGTAGTCACAAATCCTGCAATTCTATGATCCAGTAAATATCTTAACATGTATTAATTTATTTGTTTCCTCCTTGGCGTAATTTCTTTTGGACACATCTATAGCAGTAGTATTATGCATTCATCCCAAGTAATCATAGAACGGTAAAGGCACAAAATCTGTATCTCTAGTTACCTTCCGATACAGAAATTTATATATGCAAGGACTAAATTGCATTTCATTATCAGATAAATGGAATGTCTATTTGTCGATTTTTTCAATTCCTACATATAATGCTGAACTTGTAAAAGTGTATACTATACTCACGAATGAGAAACCGTCCGGCAGTAAAGACACCATTTGAATGTTATGAATCATGCAGGATACACTTCTGATGTATTTCTCCATTCGTCTCATTATAGTATATATAGATATATTAATAAATTTCAGTCTGTTGAAAAATTATTTCTAATATTTTTACTCAGATTGCTTCTTCAAATTTGGTGATTTCAAATAGAGAAACTTTACTAAAGGCGGCGCCTCTGAAGCATGGAGAAAAGACTGTCACTGTGGAACATGAGAAAGATGTGCTCATAAGCACCTAATGAATATTCTTCCGAGGACGATTTTGCTCATTCCTTGTGCTAAGTCTCAGTCATGTGTAACACGGAAGTGTAAAAATGATTGTGTTGTTTGTCCTTCTCTTTTACCTATTATTTCATGCTTCTGCTGTTGTAACTGAACAAAGTCTGATACGCCCAATAAACCTGTGTCATAGGTAACTAACTCTTTTTTAACTTTAGTTAGTCGCAAATAATAGATCAGTACATCAGGCAATAATACATGTTAAGAACTGGAAGCACGAAGTATTTTATATAAACATTCCAATGGGGTAGGTACAAAGCCAAGGGGAATATCAAATACCCCACGGAAGATATCAAGTTGTTTTGCATTCGACAAAGAGTAATATGAAGACAAATGGTTAGAGACATCCTTTCGTTGTAACACCTCCTGTTGTGTCTTCATTGTTATGACTTGGTTTTACTTTGCACAAGGATTGTAACAATTTTATTGAAAGTTCTGGATATTGCATAAAAGGTCCATATACACATTTTAAGGGAGCACTGATTCTTCTATAATTATAAGACTTTACAGCATATTCTCACACATTCCAATATATCAGTTCACCCACTCTTAACCCTGGACACAACGTAAATTTACAGAGAGTACAGAAAGAGTGAAGAGCCCACTTGAAGGAGAAGAAAATTTACAACATAAATCAGAATGCGAGGAAAATCCATATCGCCTATCATATGAACCTCTTGTATATTCTTAACTGCACTGTAATATAAAACAATGATATTCGTCTTAAAATGACCATAATTCAAGTAATAAAGTATTTTAGAATAAATTTTTTAACAAAACAGAGCAGAAGCGTGATACAGCAGAACTAACTGACGATTAATAAAATGATATCTTACACACCCTATGAAATTTTCATAACTATTATGCATTGAAAAACCCTTAGCCTTATTTTGAATGACAATACATTATAGTAGTAACTCAAGGAATTTGAACAATAGAAGATAAGATATTACATGTCTTCTGTATTTTCATTTTCAATTATATGGAATATAATCGTTCTATAGGTGTAAAACACAAATCCTATACTTCTGTATGATACGAAATATAATAAAAACATTAATAGTCATACAGTGTTTTTTATACATATCCATGTTCCGAAGGGTATGCTTCCGCAAATATACATTCGTAAAAGGTTCTTTCAAAGGTTATTCTCCTCTGATGTCATTAGAAGAGTAAGTCAAGATGACACAAGGGAATTCACCATAAAAATGCACGAGCAGAATAATCATCGACTAGGACATGAAGGGTATACCTAAGAAACCTTTATGCCTAGATGATATTTTCACACAAAGATTGCAGTTCAATCGATAAAAATATGTTATATTACATGGGGCATATTTACCTCATAACTATATGTTCCGCAAGAGTTCGGGAAAATACTCGCATTATACCATTCACATCTTTAAAGCGGGAATTAGTGAAGGCACGGGTTGTACAATAATTGAAAAATATAAACAAAGCTCCGACGCACGGAGAAATTGGAACAATCGATGAAGGAAAGATACTCCTCATTGTTAGGCGGAAAATCAGAGCTATTGGTTACAATATTGTGGGAAATAGATACGATACGGCAAGAAAAGTAATCACGCGCTGGCGACATATATGATTCGTGGAAGATGTTACAGTTTATTGTATACGCGTTGCGAGATACCATAAAAAGAAAAATTATGAAAAATACGACCTGTCATAGGCAGTACAAATACCAAGAATAACCACAAATAGCGGTGCTGGGTGAATTTATTTCTCACCATTAAATTCAGTAGCCGCCGCCGCCGAATGACGAGATTTACATATTTTATGGTGTACCAACCGTTGTGAGCAGCAAAAATGGAAAAATAAATTCGGAATTATAAAGAAGCGAGCGCATTTACATATATAGCGCATTTCGAGAGGACTTATGCTTATTGAAAACTCCCCGTTGAGAATAGGATATTCGAGAAGGGGCGAAGAGATTAAGTCAAATGCATATGTGATTAGCAGAGAATTTTTTAAAACAGAGCATAAAATAGGGGACATTATAATTCGCGCAGTTGCCTCAAATGTAGGGCAATGGCTGAAAATCCATTATTTCTTCTATGCACTTCTGTGCAAGTGCACACTCTGCTTATCCGTAATATCCGCAAATATATCTGTTCCTGTACAATCTCCTGTTTTTTTACGTTTCATTTTAATTTTATCTACGAATATTCACCAGTTTTATTTTCTTATTTTGAGTCAGCACATTTTTGTTAAAATTACATTTAATTCTGTATTTATTCCCCCATTTTTTCTTTTTTTTTTAACAGACTGTTTTACGCGCGACTGGTAGACCATGAATCCTGGAATTATGTATAATACTCTGCCGCAAATTATCCGCACATTATGTGATTAATAGAGGACATGATCCAATCGATGAAGTTTTAGCGAGTCGTTCTGTTGCTCAGACAATATTATCTAAAGGACTATAAAGGATTTTCCTAACTTAAAAAAGAACTTCTATAGCTTATTCACCCATAATCACCAAAAAAAAAAAAAAAAAAAAAAAAATGAAATTCATGTGAGTAAAGCAATCCAGAAAGTTTCTGTCACTATTTGAGGAATCGGGGCAAGAGGAACTATACAGGAAAAGGCGAATATTCTATGAGAAATCTTTTACCCATAGTAAACTATCCCATCAAGATAGATACCGCTGTAATTATGATGTGGAATACCGCAACAGACACCACCCTATAGAAACTGTAACAGCACCCAAGGTCATAACTTCCTCATAACTTAGAACAAGAAATGTCTGATGCTGTTACAAAAGGAAGGGATAGGTCTTCAAGAAGGGTGTTAAAATCTAAAAGAAAGGAATAAATCCATTTCAGATGTTTATATATTTCCATGTATAAAAACACGAACCGATATAATATAACATTCTGTCTTAGTGTAACATATACGACCTTAGATTCTGTAATTCACACCATGGAGCTGAATGAGGACAGGGAAAAATCCATGATAAACTAATTAATATATGTGATCCCTTCCGTAGCTACGTATATTTATCACCAACTCTGAATACTCGCGTATACTTTAGAAACCGATGGGAAATGGCAAACAAGTTTGTTCTTATATCCTGGAGAATCAGCCTCTGTTCAAATTTGCCCACATATGTCACTGGAAAATTCATCCACTGTTTGCACTGTGCCTTCCCTGGGTAGATTTTTCTCTTGTGAACATTTCCTTGTTTACTCCTTACCGTTAAGTTGTTCTGTTCTCGCTTGGTCACACGATGTTATCTCCCATGGCATGCCTTCATTCACGGCCATTTCTACATGTGTTCATGCTCTTAAGTGATCCATATGGTTCTACTTTATATATCTCCTCTTCCTTCGAAATGGAAAATTCTGCCTGATGTAAAAGTATCGCCGATATATAGATTCTTTTACGGTCATTCCAGTTATTTCATTATTTTCTGTCTTTTCTTTCCCCCCCAATAGAGCATTAGTTACTATCGTATTAGTACGAGTTATATCTCTGTAGAAGGTATTCCTGTTGCATTCATGTTATGACCCTCATTGATATTACAGGGGCAACAGTCCTTCGCATATAATACTACTTTCAGGATACCCCTTGTCTTTATAAGATGACACTGCAGATACCTCCATTTACCCTACACAACTTCAATTTTCCTTATAATGGAGCCCCCACCTTAACCGTTTCAAGAATACAATACTCCGGATGAAAACACATGAGTGTAGTAGGCATAATATTGTTATCCAAATAATAACACGGCACATGCTGTATCCCCAACATCATAATATTTTGAACACATATATTCAGTTCAAAGTGTACTGCTGAGTGCATATTGTTACAGTTATTATGATAGTCCTCGTTTTATTAAAGCACTACGAATACATCGAGACGCTCCAAAGGGTAATACGGCCTGCGAAGTCGGACACTAAAAGCAAGAATATCTCTGATACATTAATATTTTTCGAATCATAGTACTTCAAGAGCAATTATTGTGTCGAAATCACGGTGGACCGAGGATATTAATACCCTAGAGGAAATACTAATCTAAACACATATGTAGATTTAACATACATTTCCTGTTATGGTAGTATTACAGTACGTATACTACTATACTGGGGATATGTCTATATTTTAAAGGAGACTGCAGCAAATCATCGTTATCATTAATACAAGTGTATTACCAATTCGCAGTATCTCTAACGCAGCTATAATTCCCCGTAACAAGAAATCCTCAGATATTATAACTCAGAAAGCAATAGTTTGCATCAGTAAGTACGGCTTCTCCAATGATGCAACTCTCCGTCTTAAATTATCAAGCCGGCACCGAACAGATTTCTGGGGGATGCCCACTGTGCATGCTGAAATACTCTGATCAAGTCCGTCCCCTTTACTTACCTTCGTGTGATTTAAGTGATTGTACCATATCACCATTCCTATTGTGGCAACATACATACATTGCAGATAATTCCTGTCTCTATATAATAAAACCGTCTGCCAACGCGGTCTCATATAAAACCATTGCAGACGCAATCAGGAACCATGTCTCATTAGGTGTCATCCAAGGGAGCGCCGTATGCTTATCATGTGCTGTTCAAAAAATACTGTTCCTCAAATAAGAAAACACAAAGGAGTGATTACACTGTCTAATGATAAAAACAGCATATGTTTAAAGTGCACCAATTGGTATCCAAGAAACAGGGCAGCTGTTCATACCATGACGCTACGGATTATTAAAAAATTTTACACAATTCCATTGGTGCACGAACCAAATTGGCGAAATAGAACTCGCCAATAAGCATTAGTACTTCTCGTCCGTTATTGATTGTTCATATAATGAAAACCTCCATGATAAATTATTAGTCCAAAATATACGGCAACCTGCAGTAGCAGGAAACAGTACAGATCACACCTCCTTTATTCAACTCTCACCTCCATAGGTTAATATGAGTCACAACCTACAAGTGTTTTCACAATTGAGAATTTGGGATACCTTCCATTCAGGTATATCACAAGAATTAATGCCTCGCAAAATGCCTTGAGATGTATGCCATAGCACTCCTTATTAAATTACACTGTAGAAAACGATACGGCATCTAGAGGATTACTAAACAGAACACAACAGGTGAAAACAGTTAAGAAACAGTATAGAAATCAAGGTAAACGTTTAAAATAGAAATAAATCCCACCTCTGAAAACTTAAACCCCGAACCTGCACGCTGGAGACTAAGAGGTACCCCCTAAACCCTAGACGCCAGAGTGTGAAGCCGTAATACAGGACTCTAAACGAATATACGATAGACATAAACCTGAGCTCTAAAGACTAAATAATAAACCTAACACTGATGCGTGAAGCCTAACGAAAGAATTCCTAAATATAAATCCTAAACCAATAGAACCTAAAACTAGGTTAACCGACGCTGAATCCTATACCCAAAGGGAAAAACCGTGAACCCTAAACCACAGAACCTAAAACGTGAAGCATGACACGTACCCCTAGACAATGAAAACTAAAAACAAATCATACAGCCAGAAGCCTAAAACTGACACCTCAGGCATACAAGCAGGAATCTAAACCTAAATCATAATTGGTACACGATGATTCTAACCAATAATACCTAAAAATATAAGCTTTGAAGGGTGAAGGAACAACTGCCATAAGTGAAACCTAAAAGCGTGAACAGTAAAAACCGGAGTGTGAACCCTGACCCCTAGAACCTGAACCATACCCCCTGAACCCTAAGCTCTAAAACATAAACCGTAAACACTAAACAATAACCCCAGAGACGTGGAGCCGGAATTTAAACCCTAAAGGCTAAATCATTAACCTTAAGACATTAAGACTAAATCCTAACTACTAGGAGATGAATCGCATGAGCTAAAATGTAAAACCTGGACACTAAATCTAAACCCTGAACCCTAAATCCTAAACCTAAGCCCTGGACCCAGAACCCGTAAACCTGAACCTAAACCCTGAACCCTAAAACTAAAATCTGAACTGTTAACCCTAAACCCAAAGCACCAAAGATTGAAACCTAAACCCTGAACCCTGAACCCCCATACCCGAAACCCTAAACCCCAAACCCCAGGTCGGGAACACTAAACCCCAATCCTCGAACATCTAAATCCTACATCCTAAACCCCGAGCTCTATACACCTAACCTCCCATGTCTGTTTGCCCCTACTCTTGGGCCCCGTATGAGCTGCTTCAGCTCCTACTCTCATCCTCTGGGGGTCGCTTCAAACGCTCCTGTCGTTTCATACGGGGAGAGGCAGTCATGGCCTGCCCTTGGGCCATGTTAATTGTTAACTAATCCTCGAAGTTGCCGTTCTGATCCATTAATATCTTCCTCTCATATGGCCCTGGGGTTCCCTGATTTCTGTTCCTTGGCCCCGTGTCGGCGTTCCCGGTCCTCTCCTTCTCCAGGGGGAAGAAGAGATTCCCTGTGTCTCCCTCTTCGGGCTGCCGGTCGTACTTGGCGTTTCTCGGCTGTTGGGACCTCGGGTTCCTGTCTCACCTGCTCCGTTTCTCTCTTTGGCCTTGGGAGATTTCCTTCTTGCTTTATCCCACTTCTTTGCTGGGAAGGAGTCGGGAGTTATTGATTTATGGACCTGGTTATTTCTGGGCCTGTGGGAATCTGTTTTGTTTCTTTTAGAGGAGTCCAAAGTTGCCATTCGGTTACTAAGAATCCCTATCGAATGCTAAGTAATTAACGCCCACTTTACTGAACTTGTCAAATGTCGTCGATTTAATCCGAGACCTTATTCCTCCTCTTCTTCTTCTCCTTATGAAAATCCTACTCATCAATCCTAAACTTAAAATCATTACCCCTACCGCTCCCCCTACTATATAATTCCCTATACCTGTTTTTCCTTGGTCCAATTCTTTGCTCATTAGAGTTGATGCCTTCTGTAGGTCCTTTATTACATTTTCCTCCTGTGTTCTTTCCTCTGACCTGCCCTAGTTGGGAAATAGGATCATGAACTCTTACCTCAAACGTTTTGGAGGCTTGTTCTCCTGCTCTGGTTAGTCCCCTCTTGTTAAAGGGGATCTGACACTAAATGGTCTCAGGGCCTCCTGGCTGGGTTGTTTGTAACTATTTGGTCCTTCAGCAGGTTTAACTCTTCATTCAGTTGTTCTGCTTTTAGTCTCGTTCCCGGTGCCCTGAGGGGGCTTAAGTTGTTTTTCTGGCTTAGCATCAATCCCTTGGACAATCCTCTGCTCATACTTACCTTTTGGTACTCCTCCGGAGTCTCGACTCCGCTCTGATGCTCGCAGTTTCTCGACTTCTTCGTGACTACACAGGTGGTATCCCAGCTGTTTGTATCTGGGTCCTTATAACAAACTAAGCTGATGACGTAGGTTCCCAATTTCTTAAAGAAAGGCTCCCAGAGCTCCGCTTTGTTCTTGCGGGTTCTAATGGGGATGTTGTCTGTTTCTCTTTGCTTGGGATTCATGTTATTGAACCAGGAGCTCATAATTTCGTCGCTTGTGGCCTTTCCTGCCCAGGCTGTGAGTTCTTCTGATAATCTTAAACAGGCATCTTCGGAGTTCACCTTCCATCCGTCCCCTTCTCTCGTTATATTATCATAGATTCCTAAGATTATACTCATCATATCCATGCAAACTGCCAGATTTCTCTGATAAGGCTGTTTCCTCGTTAACGGTTTGTCCCCCGTCAATCTCGCCCAGCTGTTATTGCCGTGTGTTATGGGACAACTGTTCTCTTTCCATCTGCCCCCTAAAAATCCCAGTGAATCCACATCGCATGTAACTCTTTCCCCTTCCCAGATTCCTTCGGATGTTTCTTCTAGGTTTGTCATCCATATCTCCAATGCCTGGCATAATAGTTTTGCCCTTAAGTCTACTTGCAGGAGACTTCGGCCTTGTTTTGTGGCTAATTTCTTCCATCTGTCCCTGTCTATATTATTTCCTTTATCTCTTGCTTCAGATTCCAATTCCCAGATGGTGTGTTGCTCGGGGCTTCTTGAGTTTTTTTCGTCCTGTATAGCTGTTTTCCAGATCTTCTGGTGTATATACTGCTCCAATTTGAAACCCATCTTTGTTTTTAAATTTACCTTCTTCTGAGCGCGCTCCTCTTTGTAATCATATATTTTTCCCTGGGATAATTGAGACACCGTTTCTTTGTTCTGAATTGGTCCTCGTTCATTATGAAGGTTTACTGCTTCTTTTGAGCCAGGCGTTTGCTTATATTACCAGTAGTTTCCTTAAGAATTTCTCGTCGCATCCTTCTGAGTTGGGCGCGTTCTTTGCTTGACACAGGCCATAGTCCTTCATATTTCAGGCCATTTCCTCTCTGGACCCCTTCCTTTATCCTCCTCTCCTATCTCCCCAGGGGGCTCTTCATTGTCCTGATTCGTTTCTAGCTTGCCTTGATCCCTTCTTGGGTCTGTATACGGTAGGTTGCATCGGTTCCCGAATCCTGCCCGTACCTTTCCCAATGATTTTTTCTGACCTGTCATTCCCCCCCCCACGAGATCTTGACGCCTCCTCCTTCTATTCCAACTTCCCTTTTCTCATTTTGTGCCGAGGAGCCTGGTCTCGCCTTCTTCTTCCGACTTGGTTTCTCTTTTGCTCTCATCTTTTGCTTTGTTGAGCACTGGGAGGGTGTGGAGTGTTCCTGTTCTGTTCTCGGATGAAGCTCTCTCCTGTTATGAATTAACCGTTTTGTCCATCGGTTTAACGGGGGTCTCCTTGTTCTGTCCGTCCCACTCCCTTTGTTAGGTTATTCTTCTTCGGATGGAACTTTTCCGCTCATGTTTCATGTGGGAAGGATGAGTTCCTTCATTTAGTATTTGCACCTTGGGATTTGGTCGTTAGTTAACACTATGGCAGATTCTGGATTTGGGTTGTTCTGTTTCGGACTTCTTAGTTTTCTCTAACTGTCCCTAGCTTTCTGGAGTTGTCCATCACTCGGAGTTGCTCCTTACATAACACTTTTTTATCTTTCCTTGTAGTTCGGGGTTTTTTGCTGTCTATACCTCTTCGGGGCCCTAAGTTGCCTCTTGGTGGAGGCCAGGCGTAGGGGTTTTTCCCCTGCCTGGTTCCTTGGGGGCTGAGGCTTCTGATTCTCCTCCCTAGTCACTTTCCCGGTCCGTCTTGGGCGGAATATATCCTTTTCCCTGCTTCCGGGTTACTGGAATCTGGGATTGTGAAGAGCTTATTTGGTCAGTTCTATCTGTTTCATTCTCTTTTTGGTATTCTGTCTGACTAATCCTTCCTTGATGTTTGTCTATTGGGGCGCTTAATTTCTAACTTTGTTCAGTAACTATCCTTCTCTTATTCTTCCATTTCCTTAATGTAGACGGTTTCTTTGTGATTCATATTTTTTCCTCTTCCCTGAATTTCTGGTTTAGTTGGTGGTTTTTTTTTTTCTTCTTCTCGCCCTTATTGCGGGGTTTCATGTTTTCTTTTCTCGTGGCTGAAGTCTTTTTCCAGTAGGTTACTGTTTATTCTTTGCTGATTGCTCTGTGAAAATTCTCTCTTCTGCTTATTGTTCATTTGTTCACAAAGAAGGTTCGCTTTCCTTTGTTGGTTGTTTCCCTCTTTGGTATTTGTTCCTGATTTATATGGGTTTGTCGTGATAGTTCGCTTTTTGTTTTGCTTTCTTATCTGATCTTCCTGTTCCTGGAGAGTTGTCCCCACTCTTGGGGGTTGAGTCCGTAGTTGTTCTTATATTTTTGGCTTTTCTTCTAGGATAGTTGGATTCTTGACCTTTGTTTTTTTTTTGAGACTTCAAGATCTCGATCGGTTCGCCTGCTCCTCTTCCTTACTTTACCTTCCCTAAGGGCTTGCATTTTGAATTTCGCCCTTTTACTGTTCTTCCATTCCGGATTTGCTGTACCAAGTTTTGTCTCTACAGATTCCATTACTCCGATTCTTCCTTGGGTTAGAAGACCTCTTCTTCTCATATTTTTTCCTCTGATGAAGTTTTTTCTTTCTCTTGCTTGTTGGGATGCCTTGCTTTCGGTGCGACTCAGGGCGTCTATATATTACGTTCTGTAAGAGACTACCTGTTTTATTTGGTCCTTTGGTTCCTCCATATTTTTCTGTTCGTTTTTTTTATTTTTGAAGAGGAATTATTTGGCTTACGGTTATTCTCAATCCCCTGTGTAATATGCAGGGGAGAGTTTCTGGTTATCTTATGGGGAGACGAAGGGGTTCTGAAGTTGTTTTCTATGGTCGTTTTTATTTCGAAGATATTATATTTCTGCTCCGTATTTTCACTTTGGATATCACGGCCGACTTCTGTTAAGATTCTTATTCTTTCTGCTTGGATACCTCTAAATTGGTCTTCTCTTATCACTCCTTCGTAGTCTCTATGTTTGAGGGTGTTCGATGTTGTTCTTGTATGCGAAATATACCTTCTTGGGCTTTTGGCGTCGTGCTATCCAATTTGCTTGAGTTACCCTTTTATTTTTTAGATGATGTTTAATATCCTTTTACTGGCTTGTTCCTGTTGGGGCTTGACTGAACTCCTTTGAGTTAGGTGTCCGGTATTTACTTTTCATTTGGTTTCCCTTTCTTATTTCTTCAGATTCTAGGGTAATACGCTTTGTTAATCCTATGCTTGTGCTTCCTGGGGGGTTTAGTCTTTTTTTTTGGTTATAACTTTTCCACTTGGTTGTCATTTGCTTCTTTCTTCCCTTCGTGTAACCTCATTAGGTCTTCCCTTAAATCTGCTTTAAACTGTTGGTTCCTGGATCCTTCCTTTCACTTCCATTTTCGTGGTTAATCATGGGGTTTTCTGGTCCTGTGGGTTTCGCCCTATTGGCTGTTGAGTCCCTGAGCTGTACTCCTTCCTTTACTCGGTTCCTAACCTCTTCTGAGGTTTCGAGGTTGATTTGGGAGTTCCTTTCTTTTTTTTTACTCTGTGTTTTCTCTCCTTTTTTCATTTGTGCTTGGGGTGTATTGTTCCCCTGTTACTTTTTCGTATAAGGAGATCTTTCTCCCCTTCTCCTTGGCTTCGTCTTGGTGTCTCTTTCTTTTCTTGGTGTAACGAGTTGTTATTTGAGTTCTAAAAAATTCCTGATTGGGGATTCTTGTTTTTTTATGAGTGGATAGTGATCCTTGTTTGGTTGTTGTGTTACTTGGTTAAATATCAGTCAGTTACCTAGTCGTCGTCCTGTATTTCTTTGTTTTGGTTATTCACCCTTATAGTGTGCCTCTTTTCATCATTTTGGCGGGAGGGGGAAAATCCTCCAATGCATGTCTTCCTCAGAGACGTTCGGGAAGATTCTGGGGGGATTGTAGGTTCACGATTTAGATTCTCAGTCTATCCTTCTTTTATTCGATTTTCTTGGGCCTAATTACCCGGTTTCTGATTTCTTCATTTTCTGTTTGGTCCATTCGTCCCTGTTTTTAGATTCTTTTTTGATCCTGATCGTATAACTCATCGTATATTAGTTTTCTTCTCCAAGGATTCTTTTTTCTTTGTCTCGTTCTCTCTGGAGTTGGTTATTTCTTTTTTCTGTTGACTCCCCGTTTCCTTACCCTCATCTTTGTTAGTTTGGGCGCGAATGTTCCCTTGACGTGCCTTTAGTCTTCTTTTCCTGACTCTTAATTGGGAGTTTTTTAGGCAGTTCCTGCTGGAGTTTTTTTTGTCCTATATTTTGTCCCCCTTCAAAGTCCTGTAGAGTATCTATACCTGTATTGAGATGTGTTTACTCGTCCCTTGTAGGTACGAACCTACTGCTGTTTCTCTTTGAGATGGAGTTGTCCCTTTGAGTTGGTATATTTGTTTCCTCACAGGTGCTTCTTCGGGTGTTCCTTTCTTGGCTTGTGACTTGTGATTGGGGGTGTTCTATTTATTCCTAGTTGTTTGCCTCCTGTCTCTTGTTGTTTGGTGATTGAGGTATTCTTTCTTGGCTGCTTGTTTAATGTTTCCTGGCGTATTATTACGGGATTTTCTTTTTTACTCAATGTACTCGCTGTAGGAGCGGGCCGTTATGGAGCTGATAGCATAGTTCCTTTATCCGCTCTTCCCTTATTTTTTGGGGGTACTTTACTTGCCGGGCTGTCTGAGTCGGCTTCCAATATTTGAGATTCTTTATTTCCTTCGCTTTTATCAGTCCAGTGTGCGTTTATCTCTTGTTTTCCCCCACTATTTTGCTCCCTCAGGAAATTGCTATTAATTATTCGATTCTTCTGACTTGTTTTGTATTGTAGAAATATTTCTCCTTAGGATTTGGCTTAGTCCGGTTTGGTAGCTATGACATCGAGGTTTGCTTTTAAGTATTCCATTTTTTCAGTTCTCTTCGATTTGTTCTCTAGTGGTGCGGTTATCCGCTGTTTGGTTAGAGGCAGCTTGCTCCTCATTTTAGGGTGAGTTTTTAGTTACTTATTCTTTATGAGTTTGCTGTTGACTTGATACGGTTTCTTGAACTTCCGCAGACTTGCTCGGTTTTCATCTTTAGAATTTCTCCCTTGTTTGATGGATTACGAACCCATCAACTCGGATTTCTAATATTTGGGACCATTGATTCTTAAATTCATATTGCCTAGACTCTTATTGGATTTTTGGCCACTCCTCGGGTTTTGATACATGCTTCGACGGCTGTGTTCCTTTGCTTCTTCTTTTTGAATTCTTTAATTTTTTGCTTAGAAAATGGTTTTGGGGGATGTGACTGTTCTGATTTCGGAGCCTTCTACGGTTGTTTTCTTGGCTTTATTTTCTGGCTGCTGTTCATTTTTTGTTGTCCTTGGCTCTATTATCAACCGCTGAGGTTGTGTTATTTAGTGTAATCCTGAATACGCACTGATATCATTAACCTTTTTCCAATGTGTTCTGATCTGTCGAGGTGTCCGTTTATTTATTTTTTTTTTTCTTCTTTGGGAGCATATGCATAACCTGGGGCGCATTATCTCTTGGGTGCGATATAAGGGGGGGATAGAGCGGGGCTGTGCCGGTGCCTAATTCTTTCTTGGTTTGGAGTCCTGCTTCTTTGGTTATTTGCTTCTTGTTCTTTTTGTTTGGTTAGTAATTTTTTTATTTGCGCTATTGTTTGTACCACTCTTTTCCTGTTGGGGCTCCCTGATTGTTAAAGACTTGGCCTGGAAGTTGTACCATTTCTCCTTGGTGGAGGATGCTCCTTCTTTGTTGTTTATTGTTGCTATTTTTGTTTTGGAGTTTATTTATGTTTTTTTACTTCTGGTTGCTTGGGGGGGAAATTTGGGGGTAGGGTGCCCCCTTGATCTTTGGGGGATGTTTTTTTTTTTCTGTTATTTTAATCCTTGGGGTTCCTCTATCTTGGTTATGCTTTAGGGAAGATGTTCAGATATGGAGGTACTTTCTATCCTCCGGGGTGATAGTCGTTGACGTTCTCTAGGTCCTTTCCTTTGGAGTCCCGTGTTGGCTCATTCTTTTTTTCCTGCCTGGTCCGGCGATTTCAGCTTGGGTTGCCGAGGTTTCCATACTTCCCTTTGATTCGTATTTTCAGTTGGGCTTAGAGCCCCTGCCGTTGGGGTGACTTGGCTACTTCATCCTCCCTTTCCTTCTTATGTCCCTCCTTCTTTTAGGGAAGCTCCGTGTTCCTTCAATTGTGTTGTTTTTATTTTTTGGTCCTTTTCATTCTGTTACTGGAGAATTTCTGCTGCTTATGTTTCTGGAGTTCCAGTTTATACAGGCTGGTTCCTCCTCGTCATTAGGGCTGTTGCATGGCTGCCGGTTTAGACTGGTGTCCGTTCGCTACGTATTTTTTGGTGTCCCCTACGATTTATATTTTTTAAGAAGCTAAAGGTTAGAGTTGAGGCTTGCTTCTCCCTTTTTTCTATTTTTGCCTCTACTTCTGACTGGCTTTGCTTGTTCTTTTCCTAGTAATTTGTTGTTATGATGCTATCTTGTTCTTTTCTAATTTAACCCTATTTTTTCTTACTTCTGCGACAAACCCTTTGCTTTTTCGGTCCGGTGTCTTTCTTTTTGGTGTTTTGGGGGGGTGATGATGTAGGACCTGCCTTTTGGAGAATTGGTAGTACTCGTCCTTGTTAGATATTCTGTTGCTGATTGGATGTTAATTGTGATAGTCATTCTTCTTACTTCCTGCGTTCAAGACTTCGCTTACATTTGTCCTTTTTTGCTGTTTACTCTAATGCCCTAGCTGACTAAACTTGGGGCCTTCTTCTAGAGTGCTCTTCCTTGTTTAGTACTTGTGAATTAGTAAGAATACTTGCCCTTAGTAACTTCGTCTATTTCATCCTCCTGTCTAGGCTCTCAACCTTTTTTACTCTTACGTGTGTGGCTGCTTCGATACTCTTCCTTCTGGATCACTCTTCTTCTGGTCCTCAATTTCAACGATCTACTCCATGGATGCTCTCCCTTATCTTGGCCTTCGTTACTTGTTAAGCGGAATCATTGGATTGGCTGTCATAGTTTGTCTCTTGCTCCGATTGTGTTCTCGATTCCGGTTGCCCATGAAGTTTGTTCTTCTGTTATAGCTGTTGTTGGATTGTTTCCATTAATAAAACGGCTACGCTTTATTTGGGTGTTCCTCCTCACGCATAGTTACTTTTGGGTTTCTGTTTCGTCGGTATCCCTAGGCACCCTTGGTCTTCTGTCGTTTTCTCCTCAGTTCTTGCAGGTTCCGCTCCTCTTCATATTTCTCCCTGTTTCTCCGCCTGGGGATACTATTACTTGATTTTCTCCTTCTTTGGTGGTATTACTTACTTGCGCTTTGTTATCCACTACGTCCGGCTCATAGACGGATCTAGTTATTTCATCATAGAATGTTTATTCTTCCCTGTATACAGGCTCTTTTGGTCAATAGTCGCACGGCTATTATTATACCTTGGCTTTTATTAATCCTTCCTTCTATAGTTATTTAATATATTTTTCATTGGACTCCTTCTTTTTTCTCTCTGTTAGGCCAGTCTCTGCTAGTGACCCTATACTCGCTGGGGGGGGAGAATTGTGATGTTTTTTTTCCTAATATAGTAGTAGGATGCTTATTGGAATTTTCTCCCTCGGGATTCAGGTGGGGAGATGCGGGCTAGGTCCCCTTCGGCATATATGATCTTCATCTGTCTATTTTATTTTTCCTTTGTGGAAGGTTCTCAGAGACTGATCCTTTTATTTCTTTTTCTCTTTAATCCTCTAGGAGGTACCTCCTTCTGGGTACTTGGGTATCCTTGGTGTTGTTTTAATGTATCATTTGTTGGATTCTAGACTCTGCTTACTTCATAATGTTTGTCTGTAACATCTTCATATCTGGGAATTTCTCTAGGTTGTATTTTGTTTAAAACTAGGAGGTCTCAGGCTCCCTGTTATTCTTGATTTTGGTCAGTAAGGATCTTTAAGGATTTCCCTTCCTTGAGTTGCTGTTTGTCTATTAATGCTTGAATATTGATTATTTTAAAAATGCCCTTATCATTCTTAGGTTCGTAAATTGGGATTTTTTTATAGGGGGTATTAAATTTGTTTCAACCTGTAGAGTTGTCTTTTCTGTTTGTATCTGGAAGCTCCTTGTCTCGTTTTTCCCTTTCGATTTCATTTTGTTCCTTTGGGTTATACTAATTCTTTCCACTTGGCGGCTTATAGGGGTGGATCGACCTTATTATAGTGCAAAGTTCATATTCCTCCTTCATCCTTCTCTCGCTAGTCCGTGCCTTCTTGTTTTTTCCTGCTGGCTGCTGTAATATACTCTAGTGCTTATCAATAAATTCTTCATCATTATATTATTTCTGTTGGGTACGTCAGATGCTTTTTTCCTGTTTACTGTTTTGGACTTCACGAGAATCCTCTCTATATCATCCTTCTTGATATGCGATCGAGCAAAGAAAATCCCCTTAGCTTACAATATCTTTCATCCATTTATTTAAACATCAATTCTCTTTCGAGGAGGGGGGGAAACGTAGGTTTTCATCAGGCATAGAAACATAAGTAAGCCCTCGGGTTTCTTAA